TATGTATGCTTCTACTCATGTGGGTATCTGGAAACTTGTGTGAGGATATGTATGTGCCTAGGTACGTGTCTCATGTATAACAAGCTGGCATTTTTATAGCTTCATGTGCTTTGTTCTAAGGTCTGCAAAGCGTTTTACAAATATCGTCTCATGGCATCCACACAAAAACCCTAGGAGGTAAGTGTTCTTTTTATTCTCCATTTTACAGATGAGGAAACTGAAACAGATAATGCTTAAGTAACCTGTTCAGGATCTACCTGTAACTAGATTTGAACTTAGGTCTTCTTGACTCCAAGTCCAGCATGCTATCCACTGCACTACCTGGCTGGTATGGATAGTTATAGTGACTTAGAGCATTTTTTTCATATGACTATAGGTAGCTTTGATTTCTTCAGCTGATTGTATGCATCTGTATTTCTGCCATTGTGTATGTCTCTGAATTTATCTAAGTGAATGCTCATGAGAAAGGCACTTCACCTCTCTGAGACTCAATTTCCTCATCTCTAAAGTAGATATAATACTAGAACTTCCCACCCCCTGCATAGGGCTAGTATGTAGAAATGTGAGCTCTTTATCTGTGTAACAGGGTATGTCCGCATGCTTCTTTATATACACATTCATGTGCGAGTGTTTACACACGTATGTATATACAAGCTGACACCTATGTCTATGTTTCACTGTGTAGATTTGCATGTATTATGGTGTATATGTTTAAATGTGCATATGTTCATTTGTACAGTTGAATATGTATTTGTGCATCTCTAAGTTATTCTGTATGTATGTGTATCCATTAATAGAATGGGTATATTATAGTGGATAGAGTTCTGGACCTGGCATCAAATCTGCCTTGGACACCTACTAAGCTCTGTGGCCATGGGCAAGTCCTTCAGTCTTTCTGTGCCTCAATTTTCTCATCTGCAAAAGGAGAGGATGCCACCCTTAATGCTTACCTCACAGAGTTCTCATAAAACCCAAATGAGATATAGTAATGGATGTAAAGGACTAGATAATTATCAATTGCTATTCTTTAGACTTAATACTAGTATACAAGGAAATTCTAACCAGTTTGTCGTTTTCATCCAGCAGCTACAAATCAGAGTCAGATGATTTACAAATGGAAAGGGTAGAGAAGTCCACAAGAAACAATCACTCCTCTGGAAAGGCCACCCACATTTGCCAGGGCGGGTGGATACAATGTCCTCTCTTCCTAGTGCTGATCAACAACTATCCCTTCTTTTCAAAAATTATTATACTGTAACATGTTTTTTTTTAATTTTGAGTTTCAAATTTTCTCTCTCCCTCCTTCCCACTCCCCCCCCAGACTCATTGAAAAGTCAAGCAACATGATATCAATTGTGTAACTTAGTATTTCCACATTAGCCATGTTACAAAAAAAAAAAAAGGCAAGAAAAATGTAGTAAGTGAAAAAAGTATGCTTCAACCTGCGCTCAAAGTTCCATCAGTTTTTTCTCTGGATGTAGATAACATTTTTCATTGTGAGTCCTTTGGAATTATCTTGGGTCATTGTATTATTTAGAGTAACTAAGTCTTTCACAGTCATTCATCATTACAATGTTGCTGTTACTGTGTACACTGTTTTGCTGGTTCTGCTCACTTCACTCAACATCAGTTCATGTTAAGTCTTCCCAGATTTTTCTGAAAACAACCCCTTCATCATTTTTTATAACACAATAGTATTCTATCACAACTTGTTCAACCATTCCCTAATAGATGGGTATCCCCTCAATTTCCAATTCTTTGCCACCACCAAAAAAAAATACCCAACCCTGTTATAAATATTTTGGTACACATAGGTCCTTCTCCTTTGTTCTCTTTGGGATACAAATCTAGTATTACTATTGCTGGGTCAATTGCTCTCTAGAATGGTTGGGCCAGTTTACAACACTATCCAATGGTACATTAGTGTCCCAATATTTTCATATCCATGCCAGCATTTGTCCTTTTCCTCGTCTGTCATATTAGCCAATCTGATAAGTGTGGGGTGGCATGTCAGAGTTGTTTTAATTTGCATTTCTCTAATCAATGGTGATTTAGAGCATTTTTTTCATATGACTATAGGTAGCTTTGATTTCTTCAGCTGAAAACTGCTTGTTCATATCTTTTGACTATTAATTGGGGAATGGCTCTTATTTTTACAAATTTGTCTTAGTTCCCTATATATTTGAGAAATGAGGCCACTACCAGAGAAACTTGGTGTAAAAATATTTCCCCATTTTCCTGCTTTCCTTTTAATTCTGGCTATATCAGTTTTATAACTATTATTTCTATCCAACCTCCATTCAGACTACCAAGATAAGTTTTACCTAGTAATAGAATGTAAGCTCCTTGGGGGCAGGGACTGTTTTGTGTGTAGGACTTGGAAAATCAATTCATCAATCAATAAGCATTTATTAAGCACCTACATGCCAAGCACTCTACTAGGTTTTTGTTGTTCATTTCAGTCATGTCCAAATCTTCAGGATCCCATTTGGGATTTTCTTAGCAAAGATCCTAGAGTGGTTTTCCATTTCTTTCTCTAGCTCATTTTACAGATGAGGAAATTGAGGCAAACAAGATGAAGTGACTTGCTCAGGGTCACATAGCTAGTAAGTGACTGAGGCCAAATTTGAACTCAGGTCTTCCTAAGTCTAGGCCCAGCATTCTATCCACTGTGCCACTTGGCTGCCCTCTGTACTAAGTACTGGGGCTATAAAGACATAATTAAAAGTCCTTGCCCTCAAAAGGTTTACATTCTATAGGAGGAGATAACATGTACATTTATAATCATATAAAGTCATATACAAAATAAATGAAAGGTGACTTGGTTGAGGAAGGCCTTAGCAGCTGGAGGTGATCAGGAAAGGCTTAATGTAGAGGGTGGTCCCTTGAGATTTGAAGGAAATTGGGGATTTTTTTTTTTAAGATTAGGTCTCCCTATCTTGCCCAAGCTGAAAGTAAAGGAGCTATTGAGTGGCCTGGCCCCATCCTGATGAATGCAGGAACTTTGCTACTCTGCTTATGACCAGGTTTGGTTAGACAACCTGGTAGCCCCACATCCCCAGAGCTTCATCCAAACTAATGCCACTGAATCAGCTTAACATACTGCAGCACAGAACTCCAGAACTCAAGAGATCCACCAATCACAGTTTCTTCAAAAGCATGGATTACATGTGGAAGGAGCAGAAGTGAGAAGGGATATCATTCTAGGTTTGGGGGATATCCAGTGCAAAGGTATCAAAATGGAAAATGCAGTAGCATAGGGGGAAAACAGCAAGACAGAAAGTTTGGCTGGATGGAGAGTACTGTACAATGAGGTTGGGAAGGTAGGTTGAAGCCAGTTTATAAAGGGCTTTGAATACCAAATTAGGGCAGCTAGGTGGCACAGTGGATAGAGTACTTGGCCTGAAGTCAGGAAGAGTCATCTTCCTGAGCTCAAATCTGGCCTCAAACATTTACTAGCTGTATGACCCCGAGCAAGTCATTTAACCTTGTTTGCCTCAGTTTCCTCACCTGTAAAATGAACTAAAGAAGGAAATGGCAAACCACTCCAATTTGCCAAGAAAACTCCAAATGGGGTCATGAAGAGTCAGACACAAGTAAACAACAACAAAAAATACCAAACTGCATAGCAACTTAATAAATGCTAAATTGAAGGCAGAATAGTATAAAATAATATAAAAGGTATCATGGGGTCAGGGAAAGAATTCTGCACACAGAAGCAAAAGATTCAGGCCCAAACTTTAACACCAGTTGTATGATGTCAGGTAAGTAATATACCTCTTTGAAGAAGACATATTTCTTCAGAGATATGTTTTGTCTATTCCTGAACATATGTCTGTGCCTTTGTGTTTTGTAAACCTGATTGTGCTATTATAGAATTGGAGCTTTTGTCATTCTCTCCTGGTCTTCCCCACCCTCTATACCCTTCTCCTTCACCCCATCCCTTTCCTTCTTTCCTTCTCACCCACCCCCCACTGGTTTAATCCTGGCCAGGTACCGCTAGTAGGAAGGACCACACCTGGAGTCTCATGATGAGTTCTGGGCACCACGTTTTATGAAGGACATTGCAAGGTGGAGAACATCAAAGAGTAACTAGAATGTTGAGAGGCCAGGATCCCAGGCCATAGGACTGAAGGAAGGAACTAGGAATGTGTAGCCTAGGGATTGGAAAACTTAGAACCAGGGTGCTTAAACCTGATTCTGTGAACCTGGATTTTGTAGGGGGAAGGGGAGGGTTGTGGTTTTTTGTTTGTTAATATACTTTGATAATTATATTTCAGTAGAATTGGCTTCCCTCTATAATCTTATGGGGCAGCTAGTTGGTGCAGTGGATAGAGCACTGGCCCTGAAGTCAGGAAGACCTGAGTTCAAATCCAGGCTCAGACCAAACACACTTGACACTTACTAGCTGTGTGACCATGGGCAAATCACTTAACCCCAATTGCCTAAAAAAAAAAAAAAAAAAAAAACCTCTATAATCTTATGTATTTTATGCATTTAAAAACATGATGGAGGAGTCTAAAGGCTTCAGACTGCCAAAGGGGTCCATGACACAGAAAAGGTTAAGAAGCCCAGACTTAGAGGGTCTCTCTTCAAGTAGATGAAGGGCTTTCATGGGGAAATAATATTTGATCTGCTTGGCCCCAGAGGGTAGAGCTGGAAACAATGAGGGAAAAGTTAAAGACAGGCATGTTTTGACTTGATTTAAAGGAAAATTTCTTAACAATTACAGTTGTCCCAGGGTGCAATGGGCTCTCACAGGAAGTAACCAGTTCTTGTCACTAAAGGCAAGGCTAGAGGGTCTTCCTGACTCCAGGTCTGGTGCTCTATCTCCTGTGTTATCAGGCTGCCAAGACACTCAGGTCAGACCTCTTCCTTCTTTAGGCAACCACCATACCCTTTGTTAATAAAAAGTGACTGGAGACTCCCTTACAGGCAGCCAAGCCCTGACCCCCAAAGCCAGATCCACCATTCCCTCCCACCCTCTCCCACCACAGTACCTGCCCTTAATGGCCATCAACAGTGGGCTGCTCCTGTCACTGTCCCAGCTATTCACCTTTGCTCCATTCCTCAGAAGGCACTGGACAGCACCCACATGCCCACCCCGGGCAGCCATGTGCAGGGGAGTGCGGCCATCAAAGTCACTCTCACTCAGGTTCCCACCCTATAAATAGACAGACATTGCAGATGGTGGAAATCAGAGGATGGGAGGAAGTGGGTCACTGAGACAGAGATAGAGTCTATTGGCCCATCTATTTAGAAGTAATAACGGCCTGTGAACACCCCTGTAGATGAATGTCTGCTTTAGCTCCAGTGCGTAAATGATTTGAGATGTGAACCCAAGTAGAAAGCATGCTGGATTTGGAGACAGAGGAGTTGATTTGAATCTGGACTGTGCTACTTACTGGATGCATTCCCTTGAGCAAATAGCAACTTAAAATCTCTGAGTCCCTGTTTCCCCATCTATAAAATGTGATGATGGGATCAGGTCAGTGTTTCTCTAACTGTACTGAAAGGAACTCTGAAACACCACAAGTCTGTTGGTTGTGGTTGTTTTTGAATGAACTCTATTTTGCTTGTTAGTAGTTATTAAAATAATAATTTTAAAAGATTTTACTATAAACATTCTGCCAAAGTTGTTTAAATTTAAGGATTCAGGGCAGATAGGTGGTGCAATGGATAGGGCACTGGCCCCGGAATTAGGAGGACCTGAGTTCAAACTGGGCCTCAGACACTTACTAGCTGTCTGACCCTGGGCAAGTCACTTAACCCCAATTGCCTCCTCTCCCCTTCAAAAAAAAAAAATTCTACCACTGTGAAAAAATTTGAGAACCACTGGATTAGATGACTTCTAAGCATCACAGGATAGAGCGAAAGGCACTGGATTTGGATGAACTGAGTTCAGTTCACTAACTTGTGACACTTCCCTGTATGGCCTTGGGCAAGTTCATTTAACAACCCTGGCCTCAGTTTCCCCACATGTAAAACAAACAGATTGGCCTGAATGATATTTAAGGTCCCTTCCTCTCTAAATACTATGATTCCATCTGTAGTTTATACAATAACTGTGCTTTGGGATAAGCCAGGACCTTTTAGAAACTTCTCTCCAGCTTAGAGCCCACCATGTTTCTTTTCAGATGCCCCTCTGCTACAGCCAAAGTTGAGATGATCTGCCTAAATCTCAGTCGACTGGGATTGAGCCTTGAGAGGCTATTGTGCTTTTTCTACCCAATAATGAATATGACTTGTCATTGTAAGCTATAGTAAATGTCCTCTATAATCTCTAAATTTTTCTAAATCTGATTTATCCTTCAAGGCCCATCTCTTCCAGGAAGTCTTTCCTGAATGCTTCGTCCCAGTGTGGCTGTTCTCTCCTCTAAACTCTATCATTTATTCATTTTACAACCATTTATTGAAGTCCCTCATGTCTGGAAGCCAGAGTTGTGCCTATGAAGGCACTGGGGATGTTTACCTTTGGGAGAAGAGAAGATTTAAATCAGGAATCATCACTGTCGCCAAGTAGCTGAATAATAATAAACAGAAATTAAACTAATTCTTCCTGATCCCAGAAGCCAGAACTAGCAATTAGAACTATCCAGGAGAAAAGGTAATGAGCTCCTCACAAGATCACAAAATCTCATAGTTCTGCTAAAGATGAGATAGTCACAAAACCACAACAACTAAGTCAACTCCAAATTTGTTTTGTAATTTCAGTGGCGCCCTCCTGGCTGCATGCTAATCTTTTCCCTCTTCCTGGATTGCCCCTCGGCATCTATTCTAAACCTTCTCTTCTCTCCTCATATCATCCCTACTCTTTTTGCTTCATTCAGCAAAGGACCTTAACAAAGACTTTACAGAAAACTCTGAGGCAATTCCAAATCATATCGCTTTCTCTCTCCCTCCCTCTCTCCTCCCTCTCTGTCTGTCTGTCTTTCTCTCTCTTTGCACCAGTCTCAGAGAAGGAGGGACCCTTCTTGAAAATGCCCACTATTTGTGGGCTACTTGTGCCCACAATCTCATTCCCTCTTGTCTTCCCCGGGAACTTGTCCCTTTACTTAACTCTTCTCTCCTCTTCATTTTCAGTCTCTCTTTAATCGCTGGCTCCTCCCCTATTGCTTATACACAGTCCCAGATCTGGCTTCTAACCTCATCACTCAACTGAAATTACTTTCTCCATGGTTACTAATGAACTCTTCATTGCTCAATTCGGTGGCCTTTTCTCAGTCCTCATCCTTCTTTGCAGCCTTTGGTGTTGCTGACCAGTGATGTCAAACTCAATTAGAAATGGGGAAACTAGCTCATACAGAAGAATCCCTGCAGTCTGCAAACTTAGTTTTGTAACATTAATGTAATATTATCTATGTTTTATTGTACTTTTATTTATTCTGTTAAATATTTCCCAATTATATTTTAAGCTGGCTCAGGAGCACTCAGGACATTTAAAACCTTTGTTGTCGGCCACCCTCTCTTCCCTGGGTTTTCTGCTTCTTCTCCTCCTGCCTGTCTGGCCACTTCTCCTCAGACTTCTTTGCCAGATTATCTTCCTTATCCTATACACCATGTATGGGTGTTCTCTAGGGATCGGTCCTGGGGCCCCTTCCCTTCTCCCTCTAGACTATATTTTTCAGTGATTTAATAAACTCCCAGGGGTTCAACTATCACCTCTATTTCAGATGATTCCCAGATTAGGACAGCCAAGCTCAGTCTCCTGAAATCTGGTCTCTCATCAGGTGACAATCTCCAAATAGATGTCTTACAGGCATCAACATGTCAAAAATAAAACTCAGTATACTTTTTCCCCAAACTCCCCTCTCCCTCTTCCTAACCTCTCTGTTTCTGGTGAGGATTCCACCATTCTCTCGGTCACCTAGATTCACAGGCTCAAAGGTCACCCTTCAACTCCTCCCTCAGAAGGCAGCTAGGTGACAAAACAGCTTGAGGGTTTGAATCAGGAAGACCTGAATTCAAATCCAGCCTCAGACACTTACTGGCCAGAGACCTGTGCTACTAGGTGTATGACATCACTTATCCTCTCTCATCACTTAGCCTCAGTTCCCTCATCTGTAAACTGGGGGTGATAATAATTGCACCTAGTTCATAGGACTCTTGTTGGAATCAAAAAAGCCCTTTGTAAACCTGAAAGTGCAATATAAATGCTAAGTAATATTATTATCAGCTCTTCCCAAGTCTTGTCACAATATATCTCATATCTCTCCACTCACTTGGCCACCACCTTCATTCAAGCCCTCCTCACTTCTTGCCTGAGCTATTGCATTAGTCTTCTAAGTGATCTTATAGCCTCAGTCACTCTCCTCTCCATCCTCCACATTGATATTCCTAAAGCACGAGTCTGACCGTGTTACTCACCTGCTCAAGAAGCCTCACTGGCTCCCTCTTTCCCCTAGAATCAAATACAGACTCTTCTGTTGGGCTTGTAAAGACCTTCACCATCTGGCTCCAGCCAACTTTTCCAATCTTATTTCGTATTCCTCTCTCCTTTAGAAACTCCGTATTTCAGCCAAACCACCCTGCTCAGGGTTGTCCATACACAACATTCTATCTCCACCTCCCACTTCTGTGCCTTTATCCATGATGTCTCCCATCCCTGGAACACACTTCCTCCACCTCTTTTGAATCACAAATAAAAAAGGTGGAAAAGACATTACTGGTCAAGTAACCCAGCTCCTTCATTTTACAAATGATAAAACTGAGGACTAGAAAGGTTAAGTAAATTGTTAGAGGTCACAGAGGCAGTAAGTGGAAGAGCTAAGATTTGAACCTCGACCTTCCAAGTCCAAATCTAGGGATCTGCTAGCTCAACCACTGCCCCCTCCTGAAGCTTATCTTCTCCAACCCCCAGTGCTAGTACCCTCTTCTTCCCCCAAATTACTTTGTAAATTATTTTCTAAATACATGTTTTCCCTGAGAAAATATGAATTTTCTGTGTTTTGTATCTACCTTTCTATGAGTTATGTGTATTCCTGTATAGGTACATGTTGTTTTCCCCTTTTTGAATTAAGTCTCCTTCAGGATGGAGACTGGTCAGCTTGAGTCTATGGATCACCACCATCAGCTCAGTATAAAGAAGGCACTTAATAAATGCTTGATTGGATGACTGGTTGAGCTCCTTGAGCTCAATTGACAGACTACTGCAACAGCAAAGACTAGTATGTAGAATAGTGCCTGGCACACAGGAAGTGCTTAATAAATGTTTGTTCAATGAACACCACGTTGTCTCACATATACTAAACAAAGACCCCTCTCTCCAACATCCCTGACAAGTGGTCATCCAGCGTCTACCTGAAAACCTCCAAGGATAAGGAATTCACTCCTCCTGAGGCTGATTATTCCCCTCTTATATAACCTTGATCATTAGGGAAGTGATCAAGTGCAAATTGGAAGACCATCCATCCAAAAGACCATAGAAGAGATTCACACATTGGGGAACAGTTTGACTTCAAAGTTTCTTCCAACACTACCATTCGCAGATTATGATCTGATGAGACAGTTCCTACCCTCATGGAGCTCAAAGTCTAGTAGGGCAACTCATCTGGCATTTAGAATCCCTTATATGGAGTTCTGCTTCCAAGATCCAAGACGGCGGAGTAAGAAGTAAGTCACTCTTACCGTCCCTTATTAACCTCTGAAAGGCCAGAAAATATTGCCCCCAGGAATCTCTTATATGCCTCAGACGTTTAGTTATCTTCTTGTCTGTGTATATGACCTTTCCCCATCACTACCAGATTTTGAAGTCTTTGAAGGACTGAGTTGATTGATCCCCAGGGTCTTAAAAAGAGCAGGTACTTAATTCATATGCATTAACAGTGGCTTCCCAGTGACACACTGAGAAAACCCCTGGCCTGGGACCTACTCTCCACTCTACCACTGATTGGCTGTGTGACTTTGGACAAGTCCCCTTCCTTCTCTGAGTCTTAGTTTCATTACATAATAAAAAGGTTCAAACCAGATGCTCTATCAGGTCCCTCCAGGGGCATCGTCTATGCTATTAAAGGTGCCTTCATACTTAGTTCCTGAGAGAAGCTTTTGACAGGGACAGAAAGTGAGAAAGCTGAGGACCAAAGGGCAGGCTCACCAGTTCGATGATGACTTCCAGGGCCTCCATGTCCCCCATTCGGGCTGCAGCACAGGCCAAGGTAGGAGTCAGAGAGTCTCTTACAGCATCAAGGTCCTAGGAACAAAAAGATCACTGCAACCCAAGTCACTGTTCAGCATCCCCTCCACCAGCACCCCTGGGAAGCAAAAAGACAACACAATAGTGTGGTACAGTGGGAAAGACAATGCACTTGAAACCTGGAGACCTGTGTCTGAATCCCATCTCTGGCACTGCCTCATTCTGTGGCTTTAGGAAAGACTCCCCTCTCGCTGGACCTCAGTTCCTCCACCTGCAACATGAGAGGGCTGGTCTAGAGGAACTCCCTTATAGCTCTGGCATTCCCTGGGAGAAGGAAAAGAGCATGGCCTCCAGAGTCAGAAAGCCTGGTCAAAACATCATGTCCTCATACAGGCTACCTCATGGGGCCATTGAAAAGCCCAAATGAGATGGTGAAAGTAAAGTATTTTGTAAACTGTGTTGCAAAATATGACTCACACTCCATTCATGCTTTAAGTGTTCCTTGGCACTTTTCCCACAACAACTCATGAGGTACACATAATAGGATATCCAATGACATTTTAAAATTTTATTTCTTGACAACACCATCCAAGATGTGAGTTTATATACAGAGAGAATAGAACAGAAAAAAAAAGAGGATTGTACCTGAAACTGCAAATCTCTATTACAATACAGTTTGCTTTTTTTGTGCAAGTTATTTTCATTACCCTTTTTTACAGATGGGGAAACTGAGGCACAGAGAGGTTAAATGACTTGCCATTGCAATAGTTAGAAAATGGAGAACCTAGAACTCTAACCTTGGTCTTCTGGCTCCCATGTGCAAGGTATTTTCCCCCATGTTGTGATACTTCTCTTTAAGTAACAACGATAACAGGAACCCACACCACTAGCCATCCCATCTGCTACTCCTAAGGCTCCTCAAAGTCCCAAATGCAATTAAGAATGGTGGAGAGTCTCCATCAAGCCCATGCCATATGAGAATCAATAGAAATGACTGGGGATATTTTGTCTGGAAAAATGAAGACTAAGGAGGAATATGGCAGCCTTGAAAAGGACTTGTAAGGCTGTTCAATGGAAGAGGGCTCAGACCTGTTCTGCTGGGTCACAGACAGCAGAACTAGTAGCAATGGTTCAAAGTTGCAAAGAGGGAAACTAAGGCTTGATGTTGGGAAAAACTTCCAAACAATTAGAGCTCTCTCAAAGCTGGATGGGCTGCCTTGGGAAGCAGCAGGATTCCCCTCCTGGGAGGCCTCAAGCAGAGGGTGAATGCTCAGTCATCAGATATGTTGCAAGGAGGAGGATTCTTTTTTCAGTTATGGGTGGAACTAGTTGAGATGGCCTTGGAGGTGCCTTTCAACTGTGACATTCTGTGGTGCTGGAATTCTGTGGTCAGAGACTTCACTGGCCACATCTTAAATCCTGCTGTGGGAATGTTGGGGCAAATATAGAAAATAAGATGCTACAAGACAGACCGGCACAGGTCCTTGCCGACTCACCATCCTCAGCCACCTGCATCAAGCTCCCATAACCCAGCCTTGATTACAAAGCTAATGAAAGCATCATGAGTCCCACTCTCTATTAAAGAGTAGCTAATAACTGAAGCCATAATAACACAGTGGACATCAATGGCACCTTTCATCTAGCAATCCACCACAGGTAAGCATCAATTAACACCGCGGGAGCTCTTGTCAGAAGGCCCACTACCACCCCATGGTACAAAGAATTTAGGGGACACCTTGTATAGGTGAACGAATAAATGTGCATGCATGCATGTGTGTGTGTGTGTGTGTGTGTGTGTGTGTGTGTGTGTGTGTAGGGGAGTAACAACAAGCATTTATGAAGCACCTACTATGTGCCACTATGGCACTGTGTGAGGTGCTAGGGATACAAAAAACAAAGAATGAAACAATCCTTACTTGCAAGGAGATTTCCAGAGCAGCAGCTGCAGAGAATCTATATCAATTAACTTTGTTAAGGGGGCAGCTAGGTGGCATAGTGGATAGAGCACCAACCCTGGATTCAGGAGGACCTGAGTTCAAATCTGACCTCAAATATATAACACTTACTAGCTGTGTAACCCTGGGCAAGTCACTTAACCCCAGTGCCTAGACCAAAAAACAAAAAACAAAACAAAACAAAACAAAACAAAAAATACTATCAAAATGCTCTTGGTTATACATATTCATCCATAGAGGAATCAGAGATGTGGAGCCAGAAGGGGACCTATGAGTGCTATTAGAAAGCTAGTTCAACCTCGTAAACAGTGGCCCTGGGAGGAGAACTGATTTGCCAAAAGTCACTGAAGTACTAAGTGGTAGCACCAGAATTTGAATTTAGGTCCTCTGATCCCAAAGCCAGCCTGCTTTCCACAGTTCTAGGGAAGTCCTACAAAAGTTTACCCAAGAAGGTAAATCCTTCCTCCTTTGATCCTGAGCGCTCAATCTAGAAATGGCCATATCACCTAAATGTGTTCGTCTCTTTTCTCCAGAATGTGAGCTGGGTAAAAACCACCAGGACTTGTCACTTCCCATTTGTATCCCCAGTACTTAGCAGTGTTCAGATCTGCGTAATCACCTCATAATGCTTTTGTCATTCATCCATTCATCACTCAAAAGGGAAGAGTAAAGGAAAAAGAGAGCTCAGTGACAAGAGTCTTATCCACCCAGAAAAAATGGGGTGAAAGACTAAGCCAATAATCCAGAGGATTCAGGATTGCTTGCTCTAAATCCTGGCCCATATTCTCTTCTCAAATATCCAGATAGGGAGGGGATAGGGTAGGCATAGAGGGATGAGCCTTGGGTTATTATATATCCCAAGGAGAATTCAAATGCCTGAGTTCTAGTCCCAGTTATATCACTGATTCATTATGTGATTTAAACCAAGTTCCCCTCCCCGCCACCATGGGACTCTGTAAAACAAGGGAACTGGACTAAATCAGAGTTGTCGAACTCAAGGTCCATAAAACTCATGAGTGCTGCCCAAACCAGATTAAACTGCAATTGAGAAATGTTTAACAAAATAAGTAAAAATAGAATACCACATATATAATGTTAATTTGTGGTTTTCTAAGTCAACCTGAGCCTTTCAGGGATCTGGTTCTGTCTGAGTTTGACACCACCAGACTAGGTGATCTTTAAGGTCACTTCCAGCTCAGATATTCTAAGATTCCTTTTAAGGTTTAGCTCACTATGCACATCCCATCAATTCAGAAAACTGGTTGAGTTGAGTAACTGAATTAGAGCTTCTATCCCAAGGAAAGAAAAAGAGTGAAAGAAAGAGTCCATGTATGCAGTATATAGCAGTAGTCTTTGTGATGGCAAAAAAAAAAAAAAAAAAACCAGAAACAAAGTAGGTATCAATCGTCTAGAGAAATGGCTGGACATTGGAATGGAATATTATTGCATGGTTAAGAAATGAGGAATTCAGGACAATTTGGGAAGACTCGTATGAACTAACCAGAATGAAGTGAGCAAAACCAGGAGGACTTACTCTATGATGACAATAGTGTAAATGAAAACACCTTTGAAAGATATCAGATGTTTTGAGTAATTTTGTTGAACAATTTTTCCCCTTTATTTTTTATTCTTTGTTACAAAGGTATTGGGAGGCAGGGAAAGGGGATGAGCATTTACATAGCCCCTACTATGTGCCAGGCAACACACTAAGTGCTTTACAAATATTATCTCATTTGATTCACACAACAACCCTGCGAGTTAGGTGCTACAGTTAAACCCATTTTACAGCTGGGGAGGGGAAGGAGAGAGATAAGTTAAGAAAAATTAAAGTGATGTAAAAACAAATTATTTTGATAAAAATAAAGCAGAAAAGCCACCACGAACCCCTGAGCCATACAATGAACAATTGTGATTTCATAGGATTGGCTGGAAGTGATAAAGCAGGCCTCCCACCTCTTGGTAGAAAGGTGGAAAGGCACAGAATGAGACAGACTTTGTCACTAATGACCAGTGTGTTGATTTGTTTTGTTTAAATGTTCTCCTTTGTTACAAGGGAGGAAGAATTCTATAGTAGGAGTAAGGTGGAAGCAGTGAAAAGTAACTAAAATAAGAAAAAAAAGTATTAAAAAATCATCTACTTTTGAAGGGGAAAAAAGATGCTAAAAGAAAGGAAATCTAGAATAACTTCTGTCTTTTCATACTGAGGCACCAGAAATATCAAGTGAGGGAAAGCTTCTCATCTGTCTGAGTGAGATTAGGTATATTTGGGCTATATGATTCCAACTTGTCACCTTCACCTGCTCTACTCTGAATGGAAGCAAGTCTTTCCAATAACCTCCCATAATCCCACTGCAGAAATCCCTTCCCTTTCCTGCCCAGTTGTCTTTCAGCCTCAGCTAGAACTTTTTCAAGGATAGGGCTTTCATAGCAACCATATTCTTTTGTTAGACAACTTGTTTTAAAATTTAGTTTAAGAAATTGTTTTATTTTGTTTTAATTAAGCCATGAGTTGGAGTTGTGAGATTTATTCTCTTCTCACTAACTTGATATGTGACCTTAGGTAAAACTCTGGGCCTCAGTTTCCTCATCTGTACATTGAGGGTATTAATACTGATTCTTTCTAAGATCTCTTCCAGCTCTAAAATCCTTTGAATTCAATTTGATTTCATTCAACAAGCATTTATTAAGTGCTAACTGCACACAAAGCACTGAGCTTAGTGTCAGAGAGATACAAAATTGATAAAAGAAAAAGACATTGCCTCAGGGAGCTTACAGCCTAGAAAAATATAGCACATTAAGATTCTTCAAGGTATATGTCCATTCTTTCATTATATCCTCATAACAACAAAGTGAGATAAGTAGTGAGAATTGTCCCCATTTTACAGATGAGGAAACTGTAGGCTCAAAATGGAGACAGACTTGCCCATAGTCACACAGCTAGTAATTGGAAGAACTAAGAATCAAACCTGGTTCTACTCTTCAGAGTTGCCCAGGATAATTTTCCACACCTGGCTTTTTAGTATGACAAAGTAACTGTGAATTGTTCCTACAACTGGAATAGTTAAAGGCCCATTCTACCTGACAGAGAGGAGAGTTGCTTTCTTCCCTAGAGTGACAGTGTTGTTTGGTTGTAGGAGCAGCTGGATAGGACAGTCAGTAAGATCCCCAGTTTTCACAAAGCTCTCACCTGGCTGCAGTTCAGGTAGAGGAGGTTGGCGATGAGTTGGACAAACTTGCTGTCCCGAAGTGAGACCTGGACATCTTTAGGCAGGGGAGTCATCTCCCCTCTCAAGTTCTTGGTCAGTAGCTGGAAGAGGAAGAAATGTTTCCTAAAATCAGAGATTAGAAATTTCTCATCCAACCCAGACTTGAACCAGCATAACTCCTCCAATACCCTAGTGAGAGTCACTTACCCAGCCTCAGCTTGAAGACCTACAGTGAGGGGAGTCATTTGTCTCCAGAAGCAATAAGCAATAAGTAAGGAATAAGAGAATGAGTGATAAGATGTTTGTGGGGTGCCAGAAAGAACCATGGACTGAGTCAGGCAACCGAGGTTCTAATCCTAACCCTGCCAGTAACGCACGTAACCCCAAACAAGGCTCTTTCCTCCTCTCTTGTCCTCAGTTTCTTCAACTGGAAAATGAGAAAATTGGACTAAACGATTCCTAAATTCCCTTCTAGATCTGATATTGCACGTTTTCTGTTCTACATCATTCCACCTATGGACAGTTCTAACTGTTAGAGTTCTCCTTATGTCCAGTTGAAATTTGCTCCTGAGACAGTCCATGATCTAGTTCCACCCCCAGAGGCCAAAAAGAATAAATATGATCCTTCTTCACATGATATCCTTTCAGATACTTAAAGACAACAATGCTTCACTGCCCTCCATCCCTAGCTGCCAAACCTTCTCTTCTCTAAGCGAAACATCCCTAGTTCTACCAACCACTGCCTGATAGGACATTATCTCCAGTCTTCCCAAGTTCCCAGCCCTTCCCCAAAATATGACATTCAGAAATTGGACTTAATTTTCCAGATGTGATCTGATCAGGGTAGAGAACAACAAGATTATCACCTCCTACATTCTGGATTCCAGAAGAATGCCCAAGATTGTACTAACTTTTTTGGCTGACATGTTAAATCATTGGTTTTTATTGGACTTGAATACCACCAAGATCCCCAAATTACATCTCCAGTCTACTTGCATTTTCCTCCATATCAGGAATATATTCCCTTTTCATTTGTGCCTAACAGAACCCCTACCTTCCTTCAAGACTCGGCTCAAGTAGTAACTACTATATAAGACCTATCCTCCTACACCCAAGCACTCCTACACAGAAATATATATATAGAGAGATCTACACAAAATGCATATTCACAAATACACAGACATAAAAACAAAAGGAGAAATTCATACATGGACAGACAGACATACTCCCTAAACACACTGCGGACAGGGCCTAATACATAGTAAGTGCTTAATACAATGCCAAACTGACTGATGGAGAACTGACACCAGGGAGCAGAACTAGGAACAATGGGTGAATGTGATAGGCATTTTTAAGCTCCTCATTAAGGAAAACTTTTGAACCATTTGCGTCATCCAATCAAAGGCCAAATGACTACTTGTCACAAATGTTATAGAGAGAATTCTTGTTCAGGTTTGGGTTGAACTGGAAGACCTCTGAGATCCTGAAATCCTGTGCTTTTTGGCCTGAGTAGGCTTCTCATATCCAGTTACAAATCCATATGGATACCAGCCCACTCAAATTCATTCACACATATACTCTCAGACACATGTATACACAAACACATATGTCTAAAGGAGCCAACAGGATATTTACCTTCTTCTTGTCCTCCAGGCTGAGGTCATCACGGCCCAGCACATAAGAGAGCTTGGCCAAGGCTGCCTCAGATGTCATATCAGACCCAGAGATGATGCCAATACCTGATAAAGCCTATAGAGAACAAGGAGAGATGAGGTTAGAAAGTCGTCCCATGTTCTGTAAGGCTGCCGTGGTCCCTAAGACTGGCAACAACCCACTTCCCCACCTCTTACTCCTAAAAACTTTCTGTGACTAGGCTCAAAGCCCAAATGGCTAATGCCAGCATTGCTGAAACAGAAAGCCACCACCCAAACAACGTCTGGTCAGGCTAGAGAAACTGTAAGCACTCCACTCAGTCTAACTCCAAACTGGGAATGCAAAGGTTCTGTGTTATTAAGAAAGAAGGAAAAAGAAAGGAAAGGAAAGAGTTATGTGGGGTGGGGGATGATGGAGTCAGTGAATAAGTAAGGAATAAGAGAATGAGTGACATGATGTTTGTGGTGTGCCAGAAAGAACCAGGACTGAGTCAGGCAACCTAGGTTCTAATCCTAACCCTGCCAGTAACACATGTAACCCCAATCAAGGCTCTTTCCTCCTCTCTTGTCCTCAGTTTCCTCATCTGGAAAATGAGGAAATTGGTCTAAATGATTCCTAAATTCCCTTCTAGATCTGATATTCCATGTTTTCTGTTCTAAATGATAAATGGATGTATATATATATATATATATATATATATATATATATATATATATATA